CTTGGATGTCTGAGGCGGAAGGATCGCCAGAGCCCAGCAGGTTGAGGCTGCGGTGGCTGGGAGCGGCCACTGCACTCAAGTCTGGGTGACAGAGTGAGACTCAACTCAACAAAACAAAACAAACCAAAACAAAAAAAGTGAGAAATACCTTCTGCTGAGTCCAGTAGAGTTGGCTTCGAAGAAGATCACAGGTCAGGGAAAGGAGCGTGTATGTGTCAGTGGACTGATCGAGACGCTTCAGGCTGGATTCCGCCTCTTCCAGGTATAACTAAGAAAGCAGTCAAAGGTGTGTGAGGAAAGGCAGCCAAAAACCTCAAATTAAAGTGGAGTAGGCTGGGCTCGGTGGCTCAGCCTGTAATCCCAGCACTATGGGAGGCTGAGGTGAGTGGACTGCCTGAGCCCTGGGTTCCAGACCCACCTGGGCAACTTGGCGAGACCTCGTCTCTACAATAAAAAAAAAAAACGTTAGCCGGGCATGGTAGCGTGCGCCTATAGATCCAGCTACTTGAAAGACTGAGGCGGAAGGATCACTGGAGCCCAGCAGGTCGACACTGGGGTGGCCGTGAGTGCACCACTGCACTCCAGTCTGGGCGAGAGAATGAGATTCCAACTCAAAACAACAAAACAAAACAAAAAAATAAAGTGGAGTAAAGTGCCGGGTGTGCTGGCACTGGAGTTTGAGATGAGACTGGGCAAAACAGTGAGGCCTTGTCTCTACAAAAAATTTTAAAATTAGCCAGGCAGGGTAGCACGCACTTGTAGTCCCAGTTACTCGGCAGGCTGAGGTGGCTGGATCGCCTGAGCCCATGAGTTGAGGCTGCGGTGAGCCATGATCGTGCCACTGCACTTCCAGTCTGGGAAACAGAGTGAGACTTTGACTTAAAAAATAAAAGAAGCCGGGCTAGGTGGCTCAGCCTGTAATTCTGCACCTTGGGAGGCTGAGGTGAGTGGATTGCCCGAGCCCACGGGTTCAAGACCCGCCTGGGCAACTTGGCGAGACCTCATCTCTACAATAAAAATCAAAAAATTAGCCGGGCGTGGTAGCGCGTGCCTGTAGTTCCAGCTACTTGGAAAGCTGAAGCGGAAGGATTGCCTGAATCTAGCAGGTCGACTCTGAGGTGGACATGAGTGTGCCACTGCATTGCAGCCTGGGCAATAGAGTAAGACTCCAACTCAAAAATAAATAAATATGAATGTTATAATTAATATTTATTTATTTTTGAGTCCCAAATGTTATAATTCACATAGGAGTTGCTCATTCATTCATTAAAATACTCAGTTACCCCCCATGCTAGCAAAATAGAGCTAAATAAAGGCAGTGGGGACACAGGCTCCGTATGCCATCATAATACAATGCCATACCACTCAGGAAAAGTGATTGATTCCGTCGTTGAAGAAGAGAATATATAACATCTTTATGAAGGAGGGGGCAATTGAGCTAGGCTTTGACATGAAAGTAGAGGTTTGCTGAAGAAAACAAAAGAAGAGAGTGAAGTGGGGAGAGAGGTACATTTAAGATAAAGGGATTAACACAGCCAAAGACAGAGGGGCCCATCCAGGAAAATAAAGTAACTGACATGGCTTGGCATAATTCATGGCAAAAAGAAGGAGAAAAAATTGGCTGGGTGTAGTAGCACGCGCCTGTAGTTCTGGTTACTTGGAAGGCTGAGGTGGAAGGATCGCCGGAGCCCAGCAGGTCAAGGTTGTGCTGGCCGGGAGTGTGCCACTGTACTCCAGTCTGGGTGACAGAGTGAGACTCCAACTCAAAAAAAAAAAAAAAAAAAAAAAAAAGGCAGAAAAAGCGTGAACCAGAATATAAGTAGAGTCTGGACAGTGCCCTTTAAGTAATGGAAAAGCCACTGAAATCTTTTAAGTGGGAAAGAGGCAAGATGGGACCTGTGCCTACTAGTGGTAGTCAGAAGAGGAAGCAGAAAAGGGAGAAACTGGATGCCAGGTGACCAGCTAGCAGACACTGTGCGTCCTACGTGAGCGGTGCAGCACCACGAAGACTGTCGGAACAAGTGGCAGATACAGGACTGGCAGCATGTTCCCGGAGCAGAATCCGGAAGACTTAGTTTTGCCGTAAGAAGGCGTTTCCTCTTCTCACAGTGGCCTCCACCACTCCACACTCCTCCAGTCAGATGTGGAGGTAGGAGGCAGGAAGCTGCCCTTCAGTAGCCTGTTTTCTCAGAGAAGAGATGAGCCTCTAAGACCACGGCCCCCTGCAGGTCCTAGGCCAGGCTGGCCGGGTGCTCACCTGAGAGTAGCTGGGACAGCCGAGGGTCAGGAGGAGCTGGGTGATGTGGCAGGAGGCACCAGCTTCCTTTGCGTGGTCCTCTAGTCTCTCGGAGACGACCCGTAGGAGGAGGAGGACCTCGAGAGCCTGCAGGGGCTGGGCGCCGGGAGCAACAAGTTTACCCCACTCCTGCTCAAGTCGCCCCTCTGCTCCCCAGCCCTTTAGGATCTCAGGTTCCACAGATGGAACAACCATTAGCCATCCCAGAGAGCCTGCAAACTACCCTACCCTCTTCTGTTTTAAAGCCTAGATGCCAATTGTCATCAATAGCCAGGATTTGCTGAGTGCTTACTATGCGCCAGACACCAAGAGGTGCAGCAACTTATTCATTTCATGACAATCCTAAACCCAATCACACAGGTTAAAGTTGCTTGTCTTAGCTCACATAACAGGTACGCAGCAGAACCAAGACTCAAATCTCAGGCTTAAGTAGCTTCCCAGGCTTCTTGTGCTAGAAATATGGTCTAACGGATCCAGTAACAGTATGTGCAAGGGCTTTGTTTTGTTGCACATACCCCAATGTGAAGTCCACAGAAGAGCTTCACAAAGTCTGTGAAACTCCCTGAAATGGTATGTAAGAATATAAAGCCAAAGCCAGGCCTGGTGGCTTATGCCTGTAATCCCAGCACTTTGAGAGGTTGAGGCAAGAGGATTGCCTGAGCCCACAGGTTCAAGACCAGCCTGGGCAACATGGTGAGACCTTGTCTCTATAATAAATCAAAAAGTTAGCTGGGAGTGGTGGCTTGCGTCTGTGGTTCCAGCTACTTGGAAAGCTGGGGCGGAAGGATTGCCTGAGCCCAGCAGGTTGAGGCTGCAGTGGCTGTGAACATGCCACTGCACTCCAGCCTGGGCAACAGAGTAAGACTCCAACCCAAAACAAATAAAAATAAAAATAAAACCGCATCTAAGCCGGGCTCGGTGGCTCAGCCTGTAATCCCAGCGCTTTGGGAAGCTGAGCTGAGTGGATTGATTGCCTGAGCCCACGGGTTTGAGACCCGCCTGGGCAACTTGGCAAGACCTCATCTCTACAATAAATTAAAAAATTAGCCAGGTGTGGTAGCCTGCGCCTGTAGTTCCAGATACTTGGAAGGCTGAGGCGGAAGGATCACCGGAGCCCGACAGGTTGAGGCTGCGGTAGCCGGGAGCGGCCACTGCACTCCAGTCTGGGCAACAGAATGAGACTCCAACTCAAAAAATAAAAAATAAATAAAATAAATAAAATAAAATAATTTTAAAAAGACCACAGGTCTCAAACTAATAATTGAGCTAAAGCTAATACTTGGGCACTATTTACACAAACATTTCCCAAGTATTCTAGCATTGAATGATAACACTATCGGTTATTATTGTTCCTATTTTAGAGATAAGGAAACTTGGGCTTAGAAGACAAAATTGCCTGAGGCCATGTACCAATAAATAATGGAGCTTGGATTTGAACTCAGGAAGATTGGTCATGGAGCCTATGCTCTTTTTTTTTTTTTTTTTGAGTTGCAGTCTCACTCTGTCGCCCAGACTGGAGTGCAGTGGCCACTCCTGGCCACCGCAGCCTCAACCTGCTGGGCTCCGGCGATCCTTCCGCCTCAGCCTTCCGAGTAGCCGGAATTACAGGCATGCGCTACCACGCCCGGCTGATTTTTTGATTTATTGTAGAGATGAGGTCTCGCTGCCCAGGCAGGTCTCAAACCCGCAGGCTCAGGCAATCCACTCACCTCAGCCTCCCAAAGGCGCGGGATTACAGGCTGAGCCACCGAGCCCGGCTGAGCCTGTGCTTTTAATCACTGGGTTATAAGGCTTCTCAGCAGGCTCACAGGCCAAAGAAGGCAAAGGAGCTGTTTCTGGTCCTGCCCTTACGTGCATGGGTCTCCCTCAACGCCCTGCCCATTACCTTTGCCACCAGCTGATAGAGGGCTGCTAGGATCTGCAGTGAGGCTGCCGTCTGCTGGAGACACCGCACAGCTGGGGCCTGCTCCTTTGTAAGCACCTCCTTCCACAGGGCCAGGGCTTGGTCCAGACATTTGGACTGAGCTATTAGGTCAGAAGAAAGTGACTGCTGTCAGCATGGGCCACTGGAGAGGCTGGCTTTCTCCATGACATCCTCTGCCCTTAGTGCCTACCTCCTCCCACCCCTACAGCCTCCCACCCTACAAGGTCAGCCTCTCCCATATTCCCACACTGGGGGTCCCTGCTCTGCTCTTAGGAAGCCATGGAGGAGACACCCACACCACACTACGTTTACTGCCCTCACCAGCATCTGCAGCCAGGTTGAAAGCAATGTTACTGTACAGGAAACGATCTTCCTGGAGTTTATCTTCATAGTTCAGGTCATTGACTTCAAATTCCTCCAGGTTACTAGGGGCCTGGGCTCTCCGATCCCGCTCGATGCCCTGGATGGGGAGATCAAGGTGTAAAAGAGGGCAGATACCAGCTAAGCATGGCAGTGTGTGCCTGTAGTCCCAGTTGCTTGGGAGGTTGAGGAGGAAGGATTGCCGAGCCCAGAAGGTTAAGGCTGCAGTGAGTCGTGACTGTGTGACTGGACTCTAGCCTGGATGACAGAGTGAGACTCCGACTCAAATAAAATATATAATTAAAATAAAAATAAAAACAAAAAAGCAGGGCTGGTACCAATTTACTGGGGGCCCAGGGAAATAATTCCTACACTCGGCTCTGCTCAGTCCCGCCGCAGCCACACTCACTTCCTGCATTTTGGCTTCCAGAGTGCAGATGTAGAGCCACAGCAAGGCCTGTGCTTTGTCGTCCAGAAGTCGATCCCTGGCCTGGCCCTCGGGCCTCACAGCCTCTAGGAGTTGCAGGGCTTCCCGGACAGCATCCAGGGCAGAACTGTAGGGAGAGGATGCACTTAAGCTGGGCCCACCTCGAGTACCTGCTGCAGCACCCTGGGAAGGGCCACAGCCACAAAATGAAGGAGGCACTCAGGATGTGGAGTGAGAAGCTGTCTCCAAAGGGGTGAGAGGACCCAGGACAAGGGGAAGGAGTGGTCCACCGGCTGACCCTCCTCACCAGTCAGTCTGCTGGGCGAAGTCATGGTAGCAGAGCACCTGAGCCAGTTCCACCAGGTGGGTGGCTCGTGCCCAGGCCCCAGCTGGTGTCTCCTCGGGGCTCAGCTCCAGCAGGTCACAGATGATATTGAAGCGTTCCTGCCCGGTGTCAGCCCGCACTGCCTTGTAGCCCTGCAGTTCCTCCCTCAGCAGGAAGGCCAGGGTCTCTGGGTCCCAGTCACTCAGGCTGTCTCGTAGAGTCCTGAGAAAAGAGCAGGCTCAGTTCAGGATGAAGCCACGAGGCACAGAGCCTCTGCCCCCATGCCCAGAAGCCCTTTGGCTTGCTGAGAGCTTGGTAAGTTTGCAGTTGTGGCTTTAAAAGTCTAAATCAGATTGTATCGCTCCTCTGATTCATATGCTGCAGTGGACTGCCACTCGGAATCAAGCCCAAACCCCAGCCCATGTTCTGTAAGGCCCTGCATGACCCGGCCTCTGCCCACCTTGATTCCCCTCTGCTCCATATGGCTCCCCACCTTTGCCCTCATTTCGCTATCTCCCAGCATGCTGGCTTTCCCAAACATGTTCAAGCTTGCTCCCACTTGGAGCCTTTGTGGTTACCATATTCCCTCTGCAGGGAATTCTCTCTCCCAGACACTCACAGGGTGGACCCTTCCACACCTCAGGTTTCATCTCATCTATCACTTCTTATCAAGGGCTTCCATAGACAACATCTGAAGTTGCTCCCTTTCAGCAAATCACCCTGTTTAATTATCTTCATTGAACATGTATGAAATGTACTCATTTTTCTATCTCCCTGAGAAGAATATAAGGTCCATGGAAGCCAGAACATTGCCCTTCAGCACTATAGCCCCAGGACCCAGCACGGTGGCTGGCATATAGCCAGCACTCAATGAACAACAGATGAAGGAAGGAATCACTCTCTTTTTCTTTTTTTTTGAGTTGGAGTCTCACTCTGTCATTCAGTCTGCAGTGCAGTGGCATGCTCCCGGCAACCACAGCCTCTCCCTGTTGGGCTCTGGCGATCCTTCCGCCTCAGCCTTCTTAGTAGCCAGAACTACAGGCGTTTGCTACCATGCCCAGCTAATTTTTGATTTATTGTAGAGTCGAGGTCATGCCAAGTTGCCCAGGTGGGTCTTGAACCCGCGGGCTCAGGCAATCCACTCACCTCGGCCTCCCAAAGTGCTGGGACTACAGGCTGAGCCACCAAGCCTGGCCTGTCTTTTTCAAATATGAGGATGGAAAGACATGACCATGAGTACAAAAAGCTGCCCGATCCATGGGGCAAACATGGTTATCCCCGACCCACCAACTCACTTTAACTGTAGCTCCTTGTCTCCAGCCCTGGCCGCATCCACCTTGACTCGAACCCAAAAGGTGACTGGCTCAGTCATGTGTTCAGGGTTACAGAGTTGCAGGGCTGCCAGCCACAAAGTCACCATCTTGCAGCCCTGGGCCTGTTTACCCATTTTCTTCAAACTCTCTACATGTAGCCGGAAGCACCTGTGCAACTGACCAGAGAAAGGGAACAGAGCTCTGGAGACAGGAACCAGTGAGCATGTATGGTGGGAGGGTATGTGCATGCACAAGTACACACATCACACGGGGGTCTCCTGCCCCCTCACCCCAAGGCAGGAGGCTCCCAAGAACTCTCAACCTCAGAGGCTCCAATCCACACTTTTGAAAACCTGCTCCTCCTCCTGTAATCCTTCCAGCAAATGGCACTGCCTTCTCCTGAGTCAGAAATGCAGGGCCATCTCTGGCTCTCCCTCCCAGTCGGTCCCTTGCCCAGTTAATCCCTAGCTCCCAGCACCCATTCACTTCTTTCCATCCCAGTTGAAGCTGCTTCAGTTCAGCTACCCTTCCCTGCCTAGGCTACTATAGCAGCCTGAATGCCCAGTCTCGTCTCCTGCACTTCCTCATTGCAGCGATGCCAGAGAAACTCAAAATGCCCATCTGGTGTCCACCTCCACTTAAATCCTCAAGAGGGTCATTCTCTCACTCAAGAAAAACCCAAGGCACTCCACAGCCCATCTTGTTTGTCAATCCAGCCAGACCATCATCATTTCACAGGTATTCTTGCTTAACACATTGGCTATCACTCTGGTTGCCCAAAAGACCATCTGGTGAAACTTTTTTTTTTGAGTTGGAGTCTCACTCTGTCACCCAGACTGGAGTGCAGTGGCCACTCCCGGCCACTGCAGCCTCAACCTGCTGGGGTCCGGCGATCCTTCCGCCTCAGCCTTCCGAGTAGCCGGAATCTACAGGCATGCGCTACCACGCCCGGCTGATTTTTTGATTTTTTGTAGAGATGAGGTCTC